AAAGAGCCGGCGTTGTCATGAACCCTTCACAATTGAGAGCGGTGGTAGGCTAGATTGTCATCTCTCTGTATTTTGTTCATACCATGTCTTAATGACTCGATTCACACGCATGTCATAACTCAGCTGATGATGGCGATTGCTGTCAAATGACAATTACATAAGGGATGTGGAATGCAGAGACGATGTTAAAACGAAATCTGTGGTCCAAAAATAAATAAAGTCTTTTACTCTTAAGCAATCATTGACATTCCGTGGTTAGAAAAACACGGGAAATAATGGCTAACCAGACACAGCTATCTGCCGGCGTACACATATGTTTTGAACGACAGGAATCAATACCCTTATTCGGTCGTATATATTCTATAGACCTCACCTCGTGTTAAAGCTAATGGGGTTCATCAAAGCGTCAAGCACGTTATCCTTCCAAAATTAAAGGCATAGCGAGGCAGCTAACCACTGAATGGGCCTAACACTGCACCTCAGCTTTCCGTGTTCAAAAGCATGCCGACGGTGCACGCCACACAAGCCAGGCCGGATGGGTGCGGGGACAGCCAACCTGTGCCTCACTTCCACACTGCGCCCCAGCGTCCCGTGTTCAGAAACACGTCATCGGTACACGCCACACAAGCCAGGCCGGATGGATGCGGAGGCAACCACCCACAAATAGTCTGGCCTTTGCGGCCTCGGTGTTTTAGGCGTTTAGGAGACGCCAGAGAGTGGCTAAGCCTCATTAAGTGTCATTGCGATGTAGGTCTGGTGACGTGATGACCTCGGCATGGAAGAAGCAGATCCTGAGAGATGATATGGGCCACTCGCTGCGTCGAATCCAAGTGGCCAAAGGTACCTACATTATAAAATCTCTGGCGTTTCACTGACCATCATTAACTGGACTCTGCTGTACACGGAGTCTTAAACCTGCTCCTAACACACCCGATGACTTGGGTCTGAACGAGAAGCGAGGCGAATAATCACGGATTCTAAATGCGGTTGAAAATTGGCAGCACTTGATAAGGTAATAGCACAAGTACGGTGAGCTCCAGTGCTGGTGTGAATCGTCCATTGACACTTTTGAAAGGGGGGCATTATACACATGTGAATGGATGTTATTTAAATGACGAATGAGCATTCTCTCGACGTTATACTTTCCGGGATAAGTCGGATGTTGTGCAGGGCTTCCATTCGCATGATGCTTGCCGACACTGACAACTTTTCGAATAGAGGAGACGGGACTTTGGACCGACAGATAAGAAGTGATCACGGAGAAAGGCTGACCTCGTTCAAGGAGTGGCAGCCAGTCGGAGGGGCTCTCATCAAGCAGGAACGGTGCTCGTGAGACGATGTGGACGGTGCGACTGGGCATAATCGTCACAGGATCTCGTAAAGACGTTTGCAAAATGCTTCATGCTCGGTGAAACGGGCATGACGATCCCGGTCATGAATTCCGTAGAGATCAGCGTTGGGAAGGCGGGCCCTGATTAAGGGCAAGGGCGCGCTACCTGGGCGATTACCAAGGATGGTGGCCTCCCTGGATTCAGGCCGCGAGCGTTTTACTGTAGGTTACTGCCCCTCAACCCGAATTACACCGGACGCTTGGGTGAAACGGCCTGACGCGTCTGAGTCATGAATTACCGTGAGAGTCGAAAGGAATGCATGGAACAGAATGCAAGGGGCTAGCTTGTAACAACCAGTGGGAGCAACGGCAGCTCAGGGCTGGATGAACTACGAGAGCTCAAATATACTTGTGTTTGGAGCTGGAAACATACCGGGGGTGATTCGGCGGGGTGCTCTGCAGAAGGTACTGTAACTTTGCTTGTGCCAGATGGTTGCAGTAAGGGAGGAACGTCTGCGCCGACTCCTTGCAACGAAGGAAATAGTTAAGTTCCTCACTATTATCATGTTTCTAAATTCAACTTTAGCGTACATCTTGAACTTACTGAAGTTGCTTACGTGTCTCGCAAGAAATAAGTCTGCCTCACAACTGCACATAGTTCTGAAAGGAGCACGGCGTGCATAACATTACTGGGTGCAGTCTTCTTTGCGAAGCGGCAAGGCTGCGTGGACACATGGGGACACTGCAAGCACTGAATGGAACGGGCGTAGGGAAACCAAGTATACGTTATCACCGACCTCGGAAGGTCAAAAAAGCTCTGGAGATCAGCCTTCAGAGATTTTGCCAAATGTCGCAAAACGTACGCGGGAAGTCTCCTCTTCAAATCATGGGAAGTTCCTCTTCAAATCACGGGAAGTTTCCTCTTCAAATCATGGGAAGTTTCCTCCATTCCTCATACTGTACATGGACACCATCACCATTCGAATCGTCGCTATCGCCACAATGTCATCAGCTGTATGCAAGAGCCAAACGCATGTTATTGCATGGCGATTGCTGTCCTTAAGTCGAAACATCATTAAACAGAACGGAGTAAATAGCATATGCCAGCTTTGTGATTATGTGGATTTCTCTTTTATCAGAAGCCGGTTACCCGCGTTATCACTTCTTCTGTGTAACTATCTCCGCGCCGTTTGTGATGATGCGCACAAACGAGGATGGTAAAAGCATATTGTCCATGAATCCTTGCCACTGAAGCGATTATTCATCATCATTCGAATCTAGCACTGCCTCAAGAAACGTGACGCATTGTTAGATACTAAAGAAAAATTGCATGAACAGAAAAAATGAATTAATCATGCCTCGGACATCTGCTGACATTTCACGAAGCCTGCTAGCTGCCAATTTCAATATATATTGAATGTTCTATTGACGTCATAAGTTGAGCTGAAATTTTGGACATAGACCTGCATCCAGACACATATATTGAAAAGGTGGAAAAGCAAACAGAGCAACAGTCTTAATGAGACATACATGTTAAAAACTAATGCTAATTGCGATAATGGTGTAACATATCAGACGTGTAACATATCAGACATAAAAGCCTTGTAATCCCGGTAGTAAATTTATATTCTTCAGATGTAAACAGATAGACTCTTCGTTACCTCCACGGCCTGCTTCGAAATGTCACGCATCTTATGCACTTGAACTGCTGGCTGTATTGGAGAGTGAGCTGGCTAGTGCAACATAAACCACCTGTCGCGCATTTGATGCACCTGAACTGCCGGCTGCATTGAAAAGTGAGCTAGGCTAAGCCAACCTGAACCACCTGGTTTCCCTCCCATTGCGTCGATCGTTGCTATTAATCCTGAAGTTTGTTTTTCTGCATACTGTAAGCCAGTTTAGAAGCACCTCACTCTCATGCAAAAGCAACCAAGCGAGTATGCCGTTGTGGTTATACACGTAACTCAGCCAACCATTCGACGAAATGAGGCCAGGGTTTGAAGGTTTGTGCTGTTATTCATGAGTATTTCAGTGAGATGTTCGCTCTCAAGATGATCAATTTTTGGCAGCCTGGTTCACTGGTGTATCGTGTCTGCCATGGGTTGTCTGCCACCGTGGCTCTTGATACAAATATCAAAATGTAAATTTTGTAAGTTGGATTGTGTTTGATACGACACAAATTTTGGGTTTTCAAGAAGCTCCTAGTTTTTCGGCATTGTGAAATGAAGTCTCATATCCTGAATCGCGACCTCCGCTGCACCACTGAACTGGTTAAACGAAGCTGTAATGCTAAGTACGATGATGATATGGTAGGCAAATGATGGCGATGATAAGAAGAAAAACAATCATCATGCTTATAGAAAGTATGACAATGCCCGCGACGTCTGGCTCACATTCCGGCCAAACGCCCACGGTCTCTGGCGGGTCAGACGTGACAGGCTGGTGGTTGAGAAGTGTGCTCCACAAGTCAAAATCCCACCAAGTTCTGCTGTTGGTGGGCGTTGCTCCCTGCCGCCGCTCCAACCAGTCTTGGCCTCGACGGGGCGCCACTATGTCGAGCGTGACCCTTCGTGACCTTCACAGAACGCCGCCACGTTGAGCGATAAGGGACAAAATTAATTGGGCAACCAGAATGGTCACTTTCATCATCAAAATAAGCACCTTGATCACTAGCTGAATCAGATACCTGAATCGGCCAGTTCATCGCCAGAAAGGCTGATTCATCATCATTGGTGCCAGTCAAAATGTGGTGTAGTAACCGACTGGGCATGAGGGCTAGAACGTCCGATTACAGGTGGAAGGGCATGACAGTTCGTCAAAATGAATAAAATCATAACCAAAAGCACAGCTTGTCAACCTCCGCAGCTGAATATGTTCCAGCTCCTGGCAATTCCACGTACTCACCCATGGCGTTATGACGGTTTCATTCGTTACGTACTCGCTCGCAGGGCTCATCCAAAATAATCAAACACTTCGCCCCCCCCCCCCCCCCAATCGGGCCTTTGAGAGTCTGTGCCGAGGGTCCCGAAGGCCACTTAGGGCCCAGAGGAAGCACATATGTCCCCTGTGCCCCCCCCCCCCCGCCCCCCACTAGTTGGTTTCACCTCTGGATGTATAGGCATGTGCAATACTCAATGCTAATCAGCGACTCACTCTCAGGACAGAACTCTAACGTGAATAATAGCGTCTGCGTCCGAAAACATTCGCAAGTTGATGTCATTTTGGCTTAAAGCATGGCGGTTTTTGCTGGTGGGTTAAATTTTCTAGATTCTGGTACAAATCATTAATTTCTTTTCATATCTTGGTGATTTGTCTCACCTTTTTGGTGGAGCCTCAACCAGTCTGGTGGGTAATATTGTTTCTGAACATTTTCCGTCGTGGCGACTTAAGTAGGAGTTGCGGCTAACGAATTCGCTAAACTGGTAGTGAACACGACCATATTGGTGGTAATAACTTATCGACTATGAAACGTTCATTTTAGTGTTGATTCGTCAAATTCGGTTAAACGGTGCCTTTTGACTATTTTGTGTCATTTTGGTGACCGGTTTATAGAGGCCCAAGCGATAATGTTTCACGACTTCGACGAGGCGCCGTCATGTTGAGCGATAATACTTTGCAACCTCGACAGGGTGCCGCCATATTAAGCGGTAATATTTCGTGACCTCGACAGGGCGCCGCAATGCTGAGCACGAACCGTTTACGCGTCGCATCCACGGGCTCGGTACTGGGCCTGCTGCTGCTGCTGGCCCTGTTCGTCTACTGCATGTGCCTACGCACGGCGCCCAGCGCCTGGGAATCGGAGAGTTCGTGGTCGGAGAGCCCTAAGAGCTGGACGACCAGCAGCACCAGCAGCTGGACCAGCACGCCTGTCTCCAGCGACGACCTCTACAGCTCTGAGAGCTTCGACTTCGAGCGCGACGCGCACCTCGTGGGCGACAGGAAAACGCTCGAATACATGCGCGGCGTGCAGGAGGCGGCAGCGCGGCGGCGGCGCGCGGCGCGCCCCGAATCGCCAGTCGACTGAGCGGTGTGGACCGGCGGAGATGCGGTCTGGGAAGACGCGGTCCGGGGAGACGTGGTCCGGGTGAATGCTATTCGAGGAAGCTCAGTCCGGGAAGATGTGGTGTGGGGAGATGTAGTCCGAGAATATGCGGCCCGGTGAGATGTGATCCGTGGAAGTGTGGGTTGGGGAAACGTGGCCTGGGTAGATGTGGTCTGAGGCTGTATAATCCTGACAGATGTGGTCCGGGGATGTAGTCAGTGGAGATGTAGTCCGTGAAGATGTGATTTGGGGGGATGTGGTACGGGGATGTGATCTGGACCAGATATTTTCCGGGGAGGCGTAGTCCGGGGAGGTTTAGCATAAGGAGACGCGGTCTAGACGAGACGTGGTACGGAGGGACGCTGTCTGGAGACGTGGTACAAAGGAGCCTTGCCCGGAGACGTGGTACGGAGGTACGTTGTCTAGAAATGTGGCATAGAGGGACCCCATCCAGAGACGTGGTACAGATGGCCGTTCTCCGGAGAGCAATGGTCCTGAGGGTTCGGGAAAACGTTGTCCAGACGATGCTCTGGGATGGGGTGTTGCTGAGGGACGCGCTTTAGCAAAAACGTGCATCCATTCCACACGTCCCTGTAGCGACTCGTTTCCTATGTGCTCCTGTTGGGTCATGTTCCTACTACATGTGCAGGAGCCAAGGCGCGTTTCTGTCACGTACGAACTGCGGCTAAGACTTGCTCTCGCTGATTCGTGCTCTTTGCAATATGTGCTCTGGCTGTGATGCTACCTGTGAAACACGCTCCGAGCGTTTTGTGCAGGAAGCGCTCCGGGAAGTGAGTAGTGCCAAGCTCAGATGCGCTCCAAGAGTGAACTACGGTAATTACCAGAGCTTTGGTTACTTCCACCGTCTGGTAGCTGGGCCCGGCGCGGCTGAGTCATTGTGCTGCGCCGTCCGTAGCCGTAAACGCGCTCATGATGGACTCAAGCCTCTGGCTCAAATGCAAGACACAATCTGTGCTATTCTGGCGTGCGGCAAACATGGCATAATGCATTAAAAACATAACGATGCGGACAGTAGTTTGCCGTAGCTGTTTGAAAAATATCGGCATGGTGGAGGGCTCTGGCACCGTAACATCTGGATTTCCTTTAAACCCGGATTTCGATGGTCAGGGAGACGTCTCTCCGACCAGCGCAACAAAATTTTTGCCATCCTATTTTGAATGAAATCTGGGCTTTCCTCCAAATCCCTGTTTCAGAGGCTATTGAAACTCTCACTTTCAGCCACCTAAACAAAATTCTCAATCCAGCTTAGTTCCAGATTTTCTTACGAACATTTGGGTTTCCTCACGGCAAGCAGTATCCTCTCGGTCAGTTTTGGACTACATCGAGGCATAGGACGATAGCAGCAATGAAGATAAATCGTCTGAACAGAATTCGAAGCATGTGCGTCGCACGCGACATTCACCAAGAGTGGTTCCTTGCTGCCGAGCCAAGAACGACCAGTGAAGGGAAGCACGCTAGCATGTAAAACAGTTTTCAGTGCCTCTTGGGGCTCTTCATCGTATGCACCGCGATTCCTCGCCGTTTAGCGGTACACCATGAATAAAGGTCAAGACAGGTCGAATGTTTAATGGTGTGGCTACTTGTCTGTGAAACCTGCTGTGGAAAGCTAGGAAAACAGCAAAATGTCTTTTTGAAATAAATCAAAATATATCATTGTGAAAATATCTTATGCACCGCGACTGGTGTCACTTCCAAGATGCAAGAGCTTTCTGAAGCCCCTGCTGTAACTCGGATTTACCAGCAAGCTCCTGCCGTAACTCGGAGTTATCAACAATGGAAACGCCACTCTCAACAGGATGGGGAAATCCAGCTCAAATCTACTGATGCCATGCCCCGTCTGTTTACGTCGGTTTTCGGCGATGACGTTCTGCGAGATGATGAGGACGTTCCAGAATGTTTTCCTAAATTGGTAGCAAACCAACCGCAACACAACCGCGCCGGGTGCCAGTCCCAGAGCATGCGCTTTGTTTGGCCCGATTTGCATGGGAGGAGGAGGAGGAGGCGGCGAGTTGTAGCGAAACGGTGATGACAGAAGGTTTTAATGCATTTCTGCCTGGTGAAATAGACCGGTCACAAAATTATCTAATAACCCGGGACAGCAAAACCCGGTTCAAGCACCCGTCATTACGCAAAATTTTCTAGCTTAGAGGGCGCTTATGTTTGAGGCACTTGAGAAGAGTGCCCTGTCCTCAATACCACCTAAACAAAAGGCTCCAAACACAATCTATAACAGAGCACCTATCACGTTGTTACTAAAACGGTCAGTTGCGTATTTCGAGCAAACAAGGCCATCATGGACAGCATTTTGTTTACTTCACCAGCACATCGTCCAGATCTGTCTGGGGCAGGCCCCACCGCTGCCCATGCTCAGCTGATTCTACTCACACTTGGCTTGGTGCAGGTTATCTACCCACCCATCTACTGGTTTTTGAAGGTTTTAGTCGGCTCATACCTTGAAACTGCCGCACATCAAGATTGTAAGTGTCTTGGAAGTTGAAGGTCATACCACGAGCTTCCTCTCAGGGTCAGGGCATGCCACGAAACCCTCTCCCAAGGTCAGGTCATGCCACGAAACTTTCTCCCAGGGTCGTGACGGGCGACGTCATCTACTCAAATGCCTCTTATTACCTCTTAGGAATAAACTGTATTGATGTTTTGACTTAAGGGGGCCTGGTTGGATCTCTTGCCTTGCTGGGCCCGATTTTGCTTTTCAACCGTAACATTAGAATGCATTTTAGAGCGTGATGTAACGTCATGTCCTATACGGCTCCATCCATGGCGCATCAGTGGAAGAGTCAGCTGGGGATCTCGCCATCATGGGCGTCCGTGCGACATGACTGCGTGGTCACTGGGACTTCACGCGCGCACGACGGCTACTGAGGCTATACAGCGACGCTTGCTTCTCACCCTGACATGAAGGGCGGGCACCGCGGGGAATCAAACTCCGCGCATTTGGTTTCTCAGATCCGCGGCTTAACCACTACACTACCGGTAATACGCGGATTGATTACGAAGATGAGTTCAGTAAAATAACTGAAATTGTCGGGTGTTGTGAAATCTTGGTCCCAGGACTGACTGGATTGCTTACCTGATCTAAAACATCTTGCATTTTGCTATACATATAGACAAAATCTGGACGAGCGGTGATGCTTGCGGAGTATCTGGAAAATCATGTTTAAACCGAAATATGTGATGCGTGCCAGTCCCTTACAAATGTCCTGTTTTCTATTACATAAGCTGCACATGGTGATAAATGGCGAGCAACGTCGGATTGCAGTTCTGAAATGAGGGTTCATAAATTCAGACTGTCCTGCACCATGGCCCTGTAAACGTTGCTGTAATCCGGGATGGGAACCATGAATGAAAACATAGTCCAATACTGCAAACTAAACGTGCCGGTTTGTAAACGAAGCGTGCATTCGTAAATGCATGAAAACTAAACCGCTGGTGGATAACAGACAACCCATCTTGCAGTCAGCGGACTGTACATTGCACTGCTAGCAGTTGTAGCTGGAAGCGTTGCATGGATTTACGTCATCTGCCGAGCGCCTTAAGACCAGCTTAGGCAACTGCGCGAAGCATTTTGACGTCACCTCCACATGTGTCCTAGAGAGAACAACAAACACCACGTGACCTGGACAGCTCGCGCTTCTCGTCACCCGCTGTGTTGGCTGTCGGCTTATCGGCGCTTCAGGAATAGATTTCAACACCGCGCGTCGGTTTTGCAACCGGCTCTAAATCACGCCCGATGTGCCGCACATCGCGGCGCAACTATCCGCGTGGCACCTCGCACAATCGGAGCGACGGAATTCCCCTTGCTTCGCCCCCCCCCCCCCTCCCTTACGGCGTTTAAAACGCGGAAACCCGCCCGTCACGCCAGCGTCGGCTTCTAAGAATCCTCGGTCCGAGTATCTTCCAGCACCGAGGCGGCGCTCGCCAAACCGCCCCTCCGTCCGCCGCCGAGAAACCAGCCGGCGCTCTCGGGATGGAAATCCCCCAGCGGCCAGCGGAAAATCCAGACGGTACAACCGGGACGGCGGCGGCGGGCTGAGCTGCGGCCGCTCATAAGCCAGCAGGCGCGCGCGGCAGCAGGAGCGACCGGGTGAGTAGCGCGTGCCGGCGGCGGTGGCGCGGGCAGGGGCGCGGCGAACGGTGGACGGCGGCTGGAGGTGCGGAAGAAGGCGATGGTCGAAACTAGGGCAGAGCTGTCCACGAAGATGTGTTTGCACCGTTGGGAAACAGACCTGTTTTGACCTTGTCGACAGATGCCGAGGACTGAGCGTTCGCTCCCTCCAGTGCCCCTTTCCTTCGTACAGTGTTATGGTGAACAGGTGAAATTTATAGCTGCCTGGAAGCCATGAGAAGTGGGTTGGGTCACAGCAAATGTTTAGTGACAAATGAAACCACCGTGAGGTCATTTGGACAAATTCTGCAGACCCTAATCACCGACGACGAAGGTGGTTCTCGATATTCTCGTTTTTGCGGTCTCTTCAGACATGCTGACTGGGGGATGGTTCCCACGTCGCCTGACCTGGCGGTTGGACTGATGGGCGCCTCTCTTGTTTCAGTGAGGAGTGGAGCCCTGACGTAGCCTCTCGTACGTGCCCGCCAGGCCATCATCATGAAGACCGGTGTCGCACTGATCTTCCTGGCCGCTCTGATGGCCGTGCGTGCCGACGGACCTGAGGTAAACCGTCCTGCCCCTTGCACGTCACGTGATCCACAGCTCGGTCACGTCAGGTCATGCTGAGCAGCGATCAAACCCAGGACAGCTCGACAGACGTGCTTCCAGTTTGAGTATTCAACATTGAGTACTTCCAATAGCTTGATACGATGCTGTTGGTATAAAAAAACTATACCGAACAGTGTACTGATCGGTTTTCGTCATCGTGCCTTATTTCCGATGTAACGAAGGAGCACATGACCCAAGAGTGGGTCTGTTCGGTCATTTTGACCCCCTTGCTTTGTCCAATCCTCGAGATTCCTCCATAATGACCAGTCATTTCCCCTAGCGACAATTGTTAACATTATCGGACAGGCTTGCGGTAAGCAGCCAGTGGGGGGGGGGGGGGGAGGGAGTCGCGCACACGGGACTCGGCCCGCTTCCTTAGATTCACATATTTCTTAGATATATGGATATATTTTTAGATATTGTATATTTATTTGTTTTTTTAGATATTAGATATTTCTTTATTTTTTATATATTTGATATTTACTTATTTTTAGATATTAGATATATTTCTCAGATATATAATATCACCATAGATGGCTCCCGGCAGAAACCTGAAAGTCGCCGTGATGCGTCATCACAGTGTTCCCCACCCCTTGTGGAAAATGTTTGCTGCACGCTAGGCTAGTCTGCGACTGCGAAGTTGCCGATGGCTTTGTTCGGTTGGTCACATTTACGGGCCAGTGTATTTTCACATGAGGTCTGATTGGGCTTTAGGCATCGGCCGTGGTTCGGACAATAAGGCGTAAAACAGCTTGCAAGACCCGAACCCCTAGGATCTCAATCACGGTCTATGCGCGAACTTGCATTGCACGTTGAATTCCTCCGACATTATTTGGCAAAATGCCAAACCTAAACGGCTTCCCTTTGAATGGAAATTGCCGGGGTGGGGACGCGCAGCCACTGGATGTGCAGCCACGGGACGTGCAGCCACTGGACGTGCAGCCACGGGACGTGCAGCCACACGTGTTCCTTTTGGGTACCTGTTCCTCGTTTTACTAAATGAGCTTGTGTTACCTCAGTACTGTTTTACAATGCACGTCTTCTATATTCTTCATTGGAAGTACAAACACAGGTCAGATTGTTGCGACCAATGACTCTGATCCCGTGTTATCCTCTCAAAACAGTCAGTCAGATCTTGAATAATCATTGGCTGACAAGAGCGCTGCTCATGGCTTGGACAATCCAGTGCAAACGGCATTGACATGAGGTAGTCCGTTTGCAAGAAACGCTGAAACAAAGATGAGAAAAACTAAGAAACGCACGCCCTTTCAGATCGGAGGAACTGCTGGCGGAACTGTCGATCTTTTCCAAAACCCTTTTACGAACATTTTGAACCTGAATGCCAATGCTGTAACCTTCCACAAGCCGCGACCTGGTTTCGTGACAAGCGGAACTGCAATCGGCTTCTCCTCGGGCTTGGTGGTAAGCACATTGCCGACGGCTTCAATTGCACTGCGGTTTATCAGGGGGTGAGGGACCGGGAGACAGAGCGAGAGAGAGAGAGAGAGAGAGGGAGGGAGAGAGAGAGAGAGAGAGAGAGAGAGAGAGAGAGAGAGAGAGAGATAGAGATAGAGAGAGAGAGAGAGAGATCGCGCTCTCTCTCTGACAGCGAGATGCGAGTCGTGCGCTGATAACTGATAGTGGGACAGGGAAAGACGTGAGCGAGGATGGGGAATATAGAGCGGATGAGCGCAAGGTCCGTGGTGATGATTAAGCCTGAAAACGGTGTTGCAAAGAAATCGATAATATTGGGTTACTGTCTTTGCAGCATAGGAGCTTATAGACAGGCATTGCTCACCGCCCGGTTGCCTCTTGTCTTGTACCATGCTATAGCACATTGTGCCATAGGAACATCTATACAGCTCAAAAGTGCCAGTGAATCAGCTTACCCTATGCTAAACGAATGCAAGCGCAATAATGGGTGTTAGTGCTGCTCTGCATCGTCCTTCTCGAATCCTATGATAAAACTCACGCTGCTGTACTTTTACAGGTCGAAGGGGAAGGTGTCAGCACAAGCGATCTGAACACCTTCGGACACACAGACTTCAACTCGCGCCCATTGCGGTAGAGACACGATACCCTGTATGCTGCGATGAAGACATTGCCTTGGTTTACAACCTTGAGGTTTTCGGGAATGTATCTTGCGTCCACAGACGTGGGTGAAACCTCTGAGTAATTCACCAATAAAATGATTTAAATGGACCATGCTGTGCTGTCTTGTAAACGAACGAATACAGACTATAGTGTATGCTATTTTTCAGTGTAGTTCTGAGCTGGAACTTACATTTTGTCTGCTTCTGCTTGTTTATGTATTTTTTCGTTAGTATCGTTCCGATTGCCCTTACAAATATTCCCCCCTTGCAAATCCCACTCTGCATGGTGACTGAGATGCGATATGCAAGGTGGACCGTCAGCGATGGGGCAGCAGGTCGCGTGCGTGCGTGCAGTTGGCGCTGGAAGAGCAGCTTAGGGGCCGGTTGACGAGGTTATTAAAGGGCGAGACGTTTGGGCGGGATCGCAGCAGGTGGCGCGGCGAGACTTCAGCTCACGCTAAAGTGGCATCCATCACTCTTATCCTCTATCTCGCCTCATCCTGCATCCTCGCGACACCCCGCTTGTCCGGGGCGGGCTGCATGCGTCAGCCACGAGTGGGCCGAGAGCCCCGTGGGAACGGGGGCCCCGGCCGGGTACCCGCGCATGCGCGGGTTAAAGCTCGGCGGTTGGCTCCCCGAGGTTCATGCACATCCGTCCCATCGCTAGCCATTTTCCTTCATCCCATAGCCCTGAAATGACCATGTCTGGTCGAAAGGGCGCTAATCCAAAAACCAATCACGCTAAGTGCTAAAAGCATATCCGGGGCAGGGAGAAAGCCTAGTGGAAAGTCCGGCGGGGCGGCGTCTCCCACTGCTCGTGTTCGCGCCACGCCGGGGCCAAAGGGCCGCCAGAGGACGACCAAGAGCTGCCCACGCAGAGCAGAGCGGCAGAGCAGAGCGAAGCAAGCTAACACGCCGTCAGCCCCGCGGGCAGGTTCGAAGTTGAAACCCTAGCCCGCACCCGAGCCGTAGCTAACCAGTGCGGTGCTAACCGCCGTGCGAATCCAATGTCAGGCATCTTCCCGGGGCATGCTAACGCTCGTCATCCGGGACACAGGGCCCCGGATGGCGAGCATTGAAATGCGCGTGCAATTGCGTCAAGAAATAGCGCGTGCACAACCGGACCTGACGACAGCCACCAATGACAACGAGCAAAGCTCATGGCCGGAGCTTGCGAGGAAGGGCTTGTGCAACACAACCTGTGGGGCGTCGCGTTCGGGGGGCAAGCACTCACTCCACGGGCGCGGCATACGCACTCGAATAGCAGAGGCACTGCAGTCTGCTCTCTGTTTCTATCGCTCTCTTCGCCTCTCCACCCTCCCTGCATGCCCCTCTTGTCCTTCTCTGCTTCATTGGTCATGACGCGAATTTGGTGCGAACACGCTACGGTGTTATTGCCAGTTTCAAGAGGACTTACTAGATAGGATGGGATTGCCACGGCCTGGATGGGGATGAGCCCGCGTGCCAAGGTCACCGTTCGGGTCACGCATCGTGATCCTCTGAAGGTCACAGAGGGGAACTAAGGCCATTAGGACGATTGCGCAGGGAAGTTGTATTGGGTGCATGTCAACTGCTGTTGTGTGCATAGGTGAGTAAACGTGGAGTTGATTTTAACACGTTAGGCGCTTGAGCAAGTCGGGACACAGATCAGTTACTTTTATAACCTGCGCTAGTCTTCGTGCGATATCATCATCGCAAAGACGAATCCTGCAAGTTGGAAACGTAGCAGCTTTTTTGCGATGGACGCAGATCGTGATGTAAATCTGCTACAAGGACGCACATTGCGAACTTATCTAAGCGTGTACTTCTGCTAAGTTATTGTACCACTGGTACTAGTCTTTACAAAAAACTGTGCTCAGGAATGGCGTACTTTTTTATTTGATATGTCGCTGCGTTTTTCAGTGTCAGAGAGTCCCAACCACCGCAAGAGGTCTCTGTTATCCGGGGTCTCGTCCGTGTCCCTGTTGAGCACATCTTTCTCTGACCGACTCGGGCCCCCTGTTGACACAGAATACCTTGTTCGGCGCTGTGGACCCCTGAACGATACAGGGGCCCAGCATTGTTGCAGGTCCCCCGAACAATGCAAACAGCGGGCCCAGCCGTGTTCTTGCTTGTGCAATGGGCCTCAGAGCTCAGACGGCCGCGGAGCCAGCTGTTCGGTGTGGATGGTCTCTGGCCGAAACAGAGGAATGTTCTCTCTCATGGGTCCCTAATCGGTGCAGAAGACTCTTTAACTGACATTCAGAATCACGGCTCCGCGGGCGGGGTCCTGAATGTGACATACAAAATAGACGCGCCCGGTATGTTCAGTTTGGGCCACGGTGGAACCTGGCGATGGCGCGCACCACGCTCCCCGAGCCGGTGAAGCCGACGCGCTGCGCGCCCATTCCGATGGCATACGTGACGCGGCTCGAGTCGTCGCAGGATAGTCATAGTCTGGAGTCATCGTAGGCATCTCGAGCTCGTCGTGTTCCGGCTTCAGCTGCTTCACGATCCGCCAGTAGGACGTGGGCTTCGAGGCGGCTGCGCGCTTATTTACCGCGGAGGGTTGACGCCCCTTTGGGCCGTTTACCCTCCCAATCGGGCCCTTGATTTTTGGTCTCAAAAGCCCTTCGGCCTCTATTTGGGGCCCCTCAAACACCGCTCCTGGCTGACTCGGGTCACTTACCGCCACGCAGCCCCTGTTAGGCACTGTAGCTCCCGACCGACACAGGGCGCTTCATTATGTCAGGGATCCCGAACTTTACAAATCGCGGGCCCGGACTCGTTCCTTCTTGAGAAATGGGTCTCAATAGCTTAGGCGTACGGATAGAGAACTCCAATAAGAGGGAGACAAAAGAAATTCTCCGACTGACATTTAAGGTCATGGCGCTACGGTTGGGGGCGGGGAGGGGGCAGGGTCCGAGTACAATTGGCTCTTGATCTTTGGTCCCGTGTAGCCCTCGGCCCCTCCTAGCCTTCTCAAAAAAGTTCGTGGCCGACTAGCGGCCACCAGCCGAGATATGAACCCTGTTATGCATTGTGAAGACCGACAACGTGGCCGCAAACATGTTTCAGGGACCCATACCAATGCAAATCGTGGCCCGGGTCTTGCTCCTGCTTGGGAAATGGGCCCCCAGAGTTCGGACTGACAGGGAGCCAACTGTTCAGTGTTAGTGGTCCCTGGCCGAGCTAGACACCCGTATTGTCTCAGGGGTCCTCAAACGGTACAAGAGAACCTGGAACTGATATTTCAAGTCACAACCCTACGGGGCACCATTCTCTATGTGACCTACAACCAATTCTTCGGGCCATTTTACTCTCTAACCGGGCCTTTAATAGTCGGTTCCGGTGGGCCGCCCGGGCTCCTCTTCGGGCCTCATCGAACACTGCCCTTGGTCGCCTCGGGGTCACTTGCCAGCACAATACCCTAGGTTAGGTGATGTGAGCCCATGGCAGATATATCGTCGCTGGCACGAACCCGACTGTTCGGCGTTGGTGTTCCATGACCGAAAAAGAGACCCGCATTGTCCCACGGTGTTCCCAACCGGCGCAAGAGGCCCTCTGACTGACGCTTGATGGCCCGGCCCTGACTTCGTGCCCTCCAATCAGGCACTGGATCATCAGTCCCGAGGGACTCTTCGGCTGCTCTGCGGACCCCTCGAACACTGCCCCAGGCCGACGCTGAGCTCCTTGTCGATAGCGGACACCTGTTAGGCACTGTGGTCCCCTGGCTGACACAGGAGCCACTCATTGACTTACGGTTCCAACCAATGTAAATCGCGGATCCCTCCCTGTCGTTGCTTGGGAATTGGGCCCTGAGTCCCGGACCAGACCCTGGAGTATAATCTGGTGACGAGTCTTTCGCGTGTTAGTCATAAGGGCTCTACCATAGTAGGGAGTTCCGCGAAGTAGGCTTGATGAGGATGAGCGGGAAAGAAACTAGCGCCAAATACACTAAAAAGCATGATAATTCCCGGCTTTGACCCAATCTGCAATCAGTGACGTTATGGAATTGGATGCCCCCAAAACAGAAAGAAGAGAAAAATGCAGACCTGGTCTAAAACGTTCGCTTGCTCTGCCTCAGCAAAAGATATTGTCGTTAGACACCATTATGATTTTGTTTAGCGTGGATCGTCCAACCCAGGTTTTGACAATCGACGAAGAGCCGATGCTATGTGGCTTCAGACGTTGTTTGACTACACGGCTTCGGGAGCAAAGAGTATAACTGAGTTGATTTGCGCTTTTAATAATGTCTGCCATGAAAGTCCCCGCTGATTGCCACAAGGCGGGGTGCAGGCGCATCACTCCCACTAGGCACGCTCGACACGGCTTGCGCTGATGGTCATGGTCGAATGATTACCGCTATCGGTTTGGTCGGCTGGTATCGATCGTCGGGTCTTTGTAACTCTTTCATCGAATATTCTGAAGACACAAGGTCTTGTGAAGCTGAAGTGAAGGTCGACACATTTCAGGGGTTCCTCCGAATGTAGACGGCTAGGAGCTTTTTTCCCTCCATCAGACGTCGTAGCAACACAACACAACTTGCTGACGTCTGTATAACTTAAACATCGCTGAATAGAGCCGAAAACCTCCAAAACGCTCCAACAATATTATAACCCTAGACTACAGTCGACTATAGACATAAATCGTGTAGTTAAAAACATGCAGCATACAGAAAAAAGAAAAACTGAAGTAAACACAGAACGACCGCGGAGCTTTAGAAGTGTGACTGACTCAGTCAGGCGAACTTAACTGAGCATGATATCGCAATCTTTATTTTATTTGGTTCTTTTACATGTGAAACAATTAGTAAGAGCGTTCCTTGAATATTGCATAATTTTGAGCTTCTCTGTGAAATGTCCTACATGAACTTGGGCTCTAGAAGGTGGGGGGGGGGGGGGGCAACCTCGCAGTTAGGGGGGGGGGGGCGGATTTAGGATGCGGAAGGCAATAGCCCACCCAAAAGAATACAAATCGACACCTGTGGTTATGCAAGTGAGTGTGCCAACATGGGTCATTTCCCGATTAGTGATAGCTCATTCTGAGCCTAAAATCGGGCTCATCCCCATCCCCATGCTGGGCCTAGGATCGGATCATCCCCTCCCAGATCTTTGCAGGCCTGGGGGGGATGATCTTGAGAAGTGTTCTCAAGTCTAAGAGCAAAAACTGATCC